TGTTCCAAACTAGTATGAATTTCATTCTTCTGCTGAACACACACACAAAAGATTTTGAAGAATGTTTGTAACTAAACCGTTGCTGATATATATAGTCAAAGCCAATGGGGTCCATCGACCGTTTGGTTACAAACATTATTTAAACCATCTAAACATTCTTGAATCAAGATACGTTTATGGATTTTTAAATTTTTTTTTTTCTGAAAAAAATGAAACTGAAGTGACTTTTTGCTTAAAACAATAACAAATATAATATATATCGGTGGTTTCTTGTAATATTTAGATGCAATGGTTTAGAATTGCAGTGAGATGTCAAAGCAAATACATCAGTTCATTTTGTGTTAAATTGTCTGTTTTTACTTTTAAGCTCTAAACGTTTGCTGGTATCACACATTTTTCCCTGAAAGGAGTAACATTTTGTGGCAACTTCAGAACAAATTCCTCTGTACGTCTGAGCATCCCAACTAGCCCAACAAAGCAAGTTTGGGGTGAAAATATGTGTCTGGAACTATTAACCAATGACAGATTTGGAAAAGATTACAGTGAACACAAACAAAGTGCACCCATGCAGTGTTTGACTTTTCTGATTATTTTAGCTAAAGCATTGTATTGTGGCCCATGTGTGGGCAAGACTTTGAGTTTCCCTGCCCCAACACATATGTTTTAATATAAACCAAGGCCTAAACACTGGTACATTCCACACATTTGCAGCAAATGCATGATAAACTCAAAGACACCCTTTCAATTCTCAGCTGTGCCACTGAATGAGCTCTGCATTTGGAGCCTGTACTCTCACACTGACCTGCTTTTGTATAAATGGAGCCGCACATAGCATTAAAATCTCACCCTTATCAGCACAAGAGCACAGCAAGTGACAAAATGGCAAGACGGCTTGTGCAATGCCATTCTGAGCACTGGACCGGGCTCTCCATTGTGACCCTGACAGCCTAATATGGTTTTATTGAATGCAAGCCTGCCACAACACTGCATGAACTCAATCAGGAATACGTGCACAGAACAACAAGAGCCCTAAGAGTACTTTCTTTCAAATAAATGTCACTTGTTTGTTATCAATGCAGTGAAATCAAGACATTTTAAAGTGTCCAAATACGTTTTGGGGTCACTATATACACTGAAAACACAATTACAAAGAAACACCACGTAAAACATGTAATTAAATGTGAAATGTTGAAGTAGAAAGACCACAATAGTATTTTCTTGTAAAACATAGTTCAATAATCTTATATTTTAATATGTATGAAATGTGACTGTCTCGATATCTCCATAGTGGATCGTAGTAAATACTTAAACACTCTGTTTTAGTCTAATTTATTTACTAATATAATTTTGTTGTTGTTTTGTCATCTCTATAGTTTTTTTGTATTAATTTTTATTTCAGTTTTAGTTTTAGTTATTTTAATACATCATGTTAAATGAAAATGAGAAATAGCTTAAATAAGTTGAGTTTTTTTTTTTATGTATTTCAGTTAAAGTTTATTTCAAGTAACTTTTTTTGTTGTTTTAGTTTGAGGTTAGTTTACGGTTACCTAAACAATGATATTTTTTATTAATTAAATAGAAAGACTGAAACAGTATTTTCAAAAATAAATAAATAAATAGAAAGACTGAAAGTAAGTGCACAGTACAGTAGACAAAAACGTTCAATAAGATTTACAGTCTGACTAATATATACAAAAAGCAGTAAGTCATTCTTCATTAGCTAGTAACATTGACAGATAGACCTAAAGGTCACATTGAATCTTACCGTTTAGGGGTCCTTATTTGATTCCACAGTGGTTGATGGGGCTCTTAAATTGTCTGCATTGTAAAGGAGGTTTATATGGGAAACCCTGTCATGAGGTGTCAATAATGACCTTCTCTGACTAATTAACTCATAGGCCTTCAGAGTTCAGTCAGATCATTGACAGTCAAATGAGTAAAGGCTCAAATGCAGGGTCAGTGATGACATCTTGTGGTGAGATGCCAGAATGTCCATATTCTTCTTTTTTTTCCCTCTCTCTAAGGTCATTTCACAATGCACACATCTTTTTAAATGTTAGCTATCTGCCTTTATTATTAAAATTTTATATTGTAATATGTGTGAAATGTCTCTCTATATCTCCGTGGTGGGTATTTTGAATTTATATTTTAAAATTTTCTGTTTTCATTACAATTGTGAAGTTTATTTAATAATTTTTTGAAAATGTCTATAAAGGTTTTAATAGCTTTTATTACAGTTTTAGTTTTACTTATTTTAGTACATTGTTAAACTAAATTAAAATGAGAAATGTTGCTTGGTACTATATCGGTTAAAAATATATTCTTACAATTTATATCAAAGTAACGAAAGTTTTCGTTTTAGTTAATGACGCTGTCAATTACTTTTTGAAGTTGTATATAAAACAAAGATTATTGTTAACTCATGGGCCTTCAGAGTTCAGTCAGATCATTGACAGTCAAATGAGCAAAGGCTCAAATGCAGGGTCAGTGATGACATCTTGTGGTGAGATGCCAGAATGTCCATATTCTTCTTTTTTTTCCCTCTCTCTAAGGTCATTTCACAATGCACACATCTTTTTAAATGTTAGCTATCTGCCTTTATTATTAAAATTTTATATTGTAATATGTGTGAAATGTCTCTCTATATCTCCGTGGTGGGTATTTTGAATTTATATTTTAAAATTTTCTGTTTTCATTACAATTGTGACGTTTATTTAATAATTTTTTGAAAATGTCTATAAAGGTTTTAATAGCTTTTATTACAGTTTTAGTTTTACTTATTTTAGTACATTGTTAAACTAAATTAAAATGAGAAATGTTGCTTGGTACTATATCGGTTAAAAATATATTCTTACAATTTATATCAAAGTAACGAAAGTTTTCGTTTTAGTTAATGACGCTGTCAATTACTTTTTGAAGTTGTATATAAAACAAAGATTATTGGAGTACATTTTAACTATGTTATTTTTTTTTTTTACTTTTAAATACTATTTCAGTATTTCTACTTCAAAATTTCATACATTTCACACGCTATTTCTTTGTAATTATAGTGAAAACATGCATGGTTGTAAGAAACAAATCCATCATTAAAGCATTTTAACTTCAAACCATTGCTTCTGGTCAAAATACAAGTACAAAATCCATAATAACGCTTCCTCCAGTGAAAAATTACATCTCCTGTTGTCCTCTCACAACAAAATCCACCCACATATTTGGACTGTTTTTTGCCTGTAAATGATGCTTGATCAGTGCATATTTCTCTCTTCATTCAGACGAGATGACTAGATTTCACTGGAGAAAGCAATATTATGGACAGAGGACTATTTTGGCTCGAAGCGATGGTTTAAAAATCTCAATGATATATTTGTTTCTTACAAACACTCAGCTTTTCACTTCATTGATGGAGTTGTGTGGATTAATACAAAGTTCTGTCATGAAACTCTAGATGGCGCAGGCCGACAGGTTCTAACTCAACATTCAAATACTTGGCTAATGCTTGCTACAGCAGTTGCAGTGCGCTTCAGAAACCCCCCACCTTCCCCAGCTCCACCTGTATAGATCTGCTACGGGGTAATTTCAAGTATGCTATAAATGGGGGTTATTTTCATATATGTTATTTGTGCAGCAGCAGTATTTCTTACAATGAGATCCCATACACTGGACGGCATCCATTCACTGCAGTGGATCCATTGGTGAGCACGTTATGTAATGCTAACTTTAGCCAAAGAAAATGTATTTAAGAAACAAACTCATCTACATCCTTGATGACCTGAGGGGAAATAAATTTCAGAAAATTTTCATTTTTTGGGGTAAACTCTTATTTAAACACATCTTATCACTTGTTGATGGTAGTTTAATTTTACTTTGGTCACAAATTGCTTGCACTAAATAGACTACACAGTTTTCATGTATCTTGTTTACAGCTGTGAGAGTGACTCCTGTATTCTAAAATTCACTCACTTCATCACTGAACTTTAGCATGATGAGTGGTCAAAAAAAAAAAATGATGAGTGGTCAAAACTTTATTATCACAAACCGTTTAAACTATAGCATGGATACTATAAACACTTACACAACATTTTCAGCTGACTCATTCAGTATGTCAGCTCTGTGATTCAGCTGATGCCAATAAATAAGTCAACGGATGAGCATTTAACACTATTTGACTTACAGGGGCCCAAAAACATGAGAGTTGGAGTGTACGACAAACATCCCATTAGACCCATATATACTGTAGAAACAAGCCCGCAGTAAGTTTTTTTTTAGAAAAGAATGTGCTTTAACTTTCAGAACACAAAAATTCCTGGAGTAAAAAAATTGTTTATTGGCATTATTGAAACTAAGTAAAAAAAAAACTCACTCATTCTGATATGGGAGGGAAAAATCTCAAGAAACTTTGTGTTCGCTTGCTAACTTTACTTTCTATCACTTTTGTGATGCAAAATGCAAACGCATTCAGTACAAAAGCACTGAAATGTAAATCTTCCATCTCATATTTTTTTTCCATCACCGTGTCCCTTTAGGGTATCTGTAGATTTATGATGTCATACATCTAAAATATTAATATGACTGCCAAAATTTACACAACACTATACTGGCTGTGCAGAAAGTTTCTTGCCCAATTATGATGAGGCAATAAAGGAAAGTAGATACTATTCATAAAAAAAAAAAAAAACTTGATACTGACAATAAAAGTCATGCTGATAAATAAATGAATTAAATAAATCCTATTTACTTTTCTAGTCAGGAGACTCGTTTCTAGGCAGGAAATATACCCCCGGTTTCACAGACAAGGCTTAAGCTAGTCCCAGACTAAAATACATGTTTGAGCTGTCTAAGCTGAAAATATCTTGCTCTGACATATCTTAAAATATGTCAGTGTCATTGTTCTGTGACAAGATACACACCTGTAATGTTTTCTTCTAAGGCATTTTTGTAAAAGTTGCTTAAATATCTTAATTTAACTAAGGCCTAGTCCTGGCTTAAGCTAAGCCCCGTTTGTGAAACCGGGCCATACATTTCTAGAGAGCATTTATTTGGACAAATTTATATATGGACCTAAAAAAGAAAAGTCATCAGCATTTTTATATCTTCCAAGAAAAAGCTGTAAATTTTAAATGTGTGTACTCTACACTATGGATGAGCTCAAAGCTATAGACTAAAAAGCCACAAAGTTCCAAATTTGAATTTCATTGAGCCTATAATTTTATATTGCACTGACCACTGATCTAATTTAGCTTGAGCTTCTTTAAATGTAAAAGCACACATGCCCTGATGTTCATAGTGAAAGCATTGAGTTTATATAAACAGCATGTCAGTGTACAGTGTACAGAGATGCAGCACAGACAGACTGAATGTGCTGCAGGTCGATGGGTTTCGTGTTTCTGCGTGTGTTGAGCTGTACTGAAAATCATCCAACAAAAGGAAGAGCGAATGCTTTAACTAGACCAAACCTTGTTTATAAAAAAAAACAAGCATTTATCTTTATGTGTGTGTTTGTGTGAGAGAGAAACACAGATTAATGGCAGCATCACTTCAGCTCTTCTGTGGATGATGCTGGAGTGACATTCTCTTCTGGTCCTTCCTGAAACATACAGAACCAAGAGATAAACACACAGTTTTATATCATGCTGGATATATTTATATATTAATTCTTCTGTTCTATATAAAATCTTTCATAGATAGTTCATGATAGATCATGAAACCAATCCAATGAAATAGCCTTTAATAAAAAGGGTACATTAAATAGATCTCACAGCCCTAATTTGCTAGAAATTATTACAGTGAATTATTTTAACTTAGGCACTTTAAAAAAAATAAGGAAAAAATTATGTTGGCATTTATAATTGGAAGTAAATAGGTCATTTAGAAGTTTTTACTTTATTTACTGACAACATAAGTAAATATATATTTTAAAAAAATTTTAATTTAATTTGTAAATGTATTTATTTATAAAATGTTTATGCCAAATGCATATATGCAAAATATTTATTTTTCAAAATTTCTAGTCAGAAGCATTTATTTCTCAATTCTTTAAGCAGGTTTTTTTTTTTTTTTTTTGCTATCATTATAGTAACATTCAGTCATGACAAACACAAAGTTCAACACTCACCTTCACCTTTTCCAACTCTGACCATCCAGGCAGTGATTTCTGGGGTATGTGGAAGGCCTAACATTGATCAAAAGATAGTTATTCACTCAAATAATGCTTGCATAGTGGTCCATTAACATGCATTCTTGCAGCACTGGTGTTAATAATCTTCAGTACTCAAGGGAATAAGTTTCCTTTAAATGTCTGAGGCATCAAACCAGATGTGTAATTATTCAAATAGCTGCTATAAACATGTCAAAAGTTCAAGTAACTTGTTAGTCTCTTTGAACTGTTTGAACTGATATTAGAAATCCTTTTTTCCTTCCAAAATAGTGGCAAAAATCTCATTGAGCATCCAATTGTAGTGTTAACTACACTAGATTTTCCCCCCCAAAAAAAGCAATCAGCTGAAGTAAGCACATGTGCATTTATATTTATATTTACGCAACTATCAATTATGTATTCATTTGTTGATGTAGAGGTTGTCTCCACCTTTTTAGCTTGCTGGACTTCCTCTGTAGACTTCGACCTGCTTTTCACCGTGTGTCTCTGGGGTGAAGTGGACTGCAAAGAAACACCACACACGCAAGAAAAATTCAGCACTTTAAAATTAGCACATCAGCAAAAGAGCCATTTTCTGCCAGCTCAGCAGGTTTTACTCACCTTCTGATCCATGATTTAGCCTTGAGCTCAGACTGAGTGTCTCCTCAAACACAATCTGCCAATCTACCCAAGCAGCTGCCAGTGAGACAAAGAAGAGAATGAAGTGGTTATTATACACGATATATGGAGCTAAAGTGTGTAGTGTCTCATTAACACTAGAGGGCCCTACAGTGTCTAAAGAGAAACTATCAACGTTCAACAAGTTAACCCTGTAAAGCCTGTAAAATAATAGTCTGTATTTTTAAAGGAAGAGATTAAGAAACTATTGAAATTCTGATAGCTTTTAGTATAAACCAATAAGATCTTCATAAGCATATAGCAAACTACTTAAAATTATATCAGTTATATGTGTGTGTGTGTGTGTGTGTGTGTGTGTGTGTGTGTGTGAGACATATGAGGACACAAATTTGTATAATGACATGGGTATGACATAGGTATTACAAGGAGAAGGTGACTTATGAGGACATTACCCCATGTCCCCACTTTTCAAAACGCTTATAAATCATACAGAGTGAGTTTTTTTGAGAAAGTAAAAATGCACAAAGTTTCCTGTAAGGGGTAGGTTTAGGTGTAGGGTTGGTGTAGGCAGGGAAGTAACTTTTTTAAAAATATAAGTTAGATTAACTTATTTTATTTAGTGAATATCACTGTTAGGTTTTACAGTGTAACGTTGATGTATAAAGACTTGGTACACATGGACTACTTTTATGCTACTTTTGTGTGACAGTACAAATTATTGTATGGGAAAATGGCAGCTCTGACATTGAACCTAATACCTGCTTTTTACATTTCATGCCAAAAATTCGTAGCTGGAAGACCTTGAGGGTGAATTAATGCTTATGTGTGTGTGTGTGTGTATATAATCATTTTCAAGTCAAGTATTCATTAAACCCTCACAATCCACCACCTGTTGAGCAGCGATTATCACTGTAAAGTGTGCGTGTGAGAAGTTAAAGTGAAAGCAACGAGCACGAGTGTGTGGTTAAACTCTCGATGTTCTGGTGTCACTATGAAGAGCTCTGTGGCTCGAGAGGAGGAAGACACACTTCCTATCGATTCATCCACGCCAGTGAGTCAACAACACTAAAGGTGACGTTTCTGAGCCAGAGAGACCGCGGTACAGCGACGCACGCACGCTCAGATGAGTGGATATCTGAATGATAACTAACGAGTGATCTAACATTGTTCTGTGAGCCGTACACAACACTTTGTCCTTTTAGCTCTCTAGGACACATTAACTTTGTGGGAAATCTTTTCAAGAGGCCGCTGTGGTTTCTAGGGTGTTCAAGGTGGTTGCTATAGCACTCTATAGAGTGTTGCTAGGATATAAAATGTAAAAAAAAAAAAAAAAATCTAACTGTATATTCTAAAATATTACAAATACTATAATAAAAATAATAATAAATTATTATTATTAGCCTATTAATCAAACTCTAAATATCATACACTAAAACTCAAAAAATTATATGTATGCAATTACAAAGATTACATAAACTATAATCAAATTATATAATACTAGTAATCAAAATCTCAAAAACATAAGTCAAAAACGTAACTTGAAATGTATTTCTTGTCACAAACTATAAATATAAATTTATAATTTAATTGTATTATGATTACACATTAATGTATTCAATTATATAATTTACATAAATTTATAATAAAAAATAATCTAACATGCTAAAAACGGTAAATGAAAATATAAATGTTTCTCATATTTCATTACTGTATAATTTTACAGTTATTTATATAATTGCATTACTACTATACAGGAAGGAAGGAAGGAAGGAAGGAAGGAAGGATGGATGGATGGATGGATGGATGGATGGATAGATGGATGGATTTAATAAAGCTGAGAGAGAGACTATCATCTTTCTGAAGGTTGAGAAACTTATTGAAATCAGTGTTAACTCTTTAAAGACTCATTGAAATGCCAATCCAAATTTGAGTCTTTGTGCTTTCGATCAATTCAAGGTTTGTTAATACTGTATTTAGATGTCACCTAAAGGCATTAAAGTTGGCATGATGTTAAAAAATAGGTAAAACTCATCATCAAAATGTGGACACAAAAAGATACCATAGTATTACCACAGTAAAGCATCTTATAGAAGCATTTAAGTAACTGTTATATAACTATCAAATATCTGATACAACTTTCTTAATTGAACACAAAAGAAGATATTTTGAATAACAGTTGACTGTAGTCACCGTCACCGACGTCCATAGTATGAAAATAATACTATAGTCAATTGTTACCATCAACTGTTTGGTTACCAGCATATTTCGAAATATCTTCTTATTGTGTTCAACAGATGACAGAATCTTATACAGGTTTGGAATAACATGAGGATGAGTAAATGACAATTTTCATTTTTGGGTGAACTATCCCTTTAACATCAGTTCCAGTCATGTCAGTCATATTCTCATGCTGTGATTATATTTCTGTGAGTCAGACCTGCAGTACATATTTAATAACACACTAACACCTTCATTTGTTGGTCACAATTAATTATTAAAAGAAAACATTAAGTGGGGAGGACAGAAATAAACACATTATCCTCTTCCATTGACACTAAAGAGCAAGTATTTGCTGTCTAACATCATGACATCAGAATCAGGGCTCTGATTGTCAGGAAACAAACTAATTTTGTCCATTTAGCTCATGTTACTAAACACAAATAATCAGAATAGAGAGCCGTTTGAGTCGATTTGCCCTTTAGTGATTCTGGAACAACTGCTGCATACAAATACACCAGTATAACACATACAGTATAATACACCAGTATAACACATACACATACTGATGTTCAAGACAGGAGCTCATTACACAATACTTATGCAAATACAATAAAAAAACATACTATTATTCGTTTCATTATAATGCAAAGGTGATAAAACAGAGATAGATGAAGGCTTACCCTTCTCCTTATCTGTCTGCGAAGATGAGCAGCCAGTGAGTGAATCCTTCTCATTTCACGATGCAGTGTCTCTCCATCCCTCCCTTTCTCTCTCTCTCTCTCTCACTCTCTCACACACACACACCCCACAGCCCATTCATCATTTCACAGACAAGCGTACACACCAACCAGCCCAGTCATAAAAACACACTACTGATGAGTGTAATGAGGAGGATGAGACAGAGAGATGAAGGGTTGGAAACAACTGAACCCTAAAAGGTATACACAAAAGGTGACCACATTCTTGGCAATATTTAATGACAAAGTGGCCTTTTTCATTATTCAAATCAATGTGCCTGATTAAAATGTCAAAATAAGGATTATTAAAAATATACATAAAAAATATATAAAAAGAAATATGTTCAATTGTTTGGCGAGTAATCAAGAGCAGTGAGTGACACTGATGCTGCTATTAAAGCAAATGGGAGGCAAAATGTTTGTATACCTTTCTAGGGATAAAGTCAAGCATTCAAGAATAAATTTTTTTTTTTTTAATTAATAATTAAATTAATAAATAAATAATATTTATATATACACATAACAGTGGTATAACAGTGGTTATAGAAAAGAATCACCCTCTTCAAAATAATCACATTTTGTTGCTTTGCAGCCTGAAATGAAGACGGACACAGTTTTGTTTTGTCCAGCTGTATTTACTCAGTGCAACTTATAACATCCAAGTGAAAGATATAACACCAACATGTCAGAAAAAAAGAAAAAATTACTGAGTTGGAAAAAGGATCACCTTGTGTCAATATTTTGTTGAACCACCTTTTGCTTTAATTACAGCCTTTAGTCTGTTGGGATTTGTCTCTGTCACTTTGCACATCTAGACTTGGCAATATTTGCCCGCTCTTCTTTGCAGAACTGCTCAAGTTCAGTTAAACTTGATGGTGAGGGTTTGTGGACTGCAGTCTTTCAAGTCATTCCACAGATTTTCAATGAGGTTGTTTGGAGTTGAGGCCAAAAAATTCAATTTTAGTCTCATCTGCCTCAGGGAGGGTCTGTGTTGTACCAAATACCTTCCACTTCTTACTAATAGACTTCACTGTGCTTCTAGACATTGATAGAGACTTTGAATTTTTTTGTATCCATCTCCTGACTTGTGGCTGTCCTGAACTTGTTCCCGGAGATCTTTTGACAGTGCTTGCCACCCATAGTTGATTGTTTGCTTCAGTTGCACTACCAAAGACTGAAATGCTCCAGGAAAGCTCTTTTCATGCTGAGCTAATCAAAATGATTACAGCTGTAAATCAAATGGCTTTGTGTGCCATTGAGAAAGTGATTAGCTACACATGATTGAGTTTACAAGTCATTTCTAGGAGAAGGGTGATCCTTTTTCCAACTCGGTGATTCTGTTTTGTTTTTTTTCTGACATTTTGGTGTTATATCTTTCACTCAGATGTTATAAGTTGCACTGAGTTACAGCTGGATAAAACAACAACTGTGTCCGTCTTCATTTCAGGCTGTAAAGCAACAAAATGTGATTATTTTAAAGAGGGGTGATTCTATTCTATACCCACTGTGTTATATAGATATATAACAAATAAAAGTGAGCACATTGTGGTAACATTATTAATATCTGTTTTTAATTAGCATACATCTATTTTTAGTTTTTAATTTCCTTTAAGTTTGAATAATTTTGTCATGCTTTTGTCAAATCAGTTATTTTTCATTGTTTTTTTTACTTCAGTTTTAGAAACTTTAGTACTTAAACATTTTAGTTAAAGATTTCTAATTTAGTTCAACATTTCTAATTTTCAATCAACTTTCATCTGTTTATATTTTTAGTCATCAAAATATATTTTAATTATCGAAAATAATTTTTAATAGTTTTAATGACAACACAGTAGGCTAATGCTGCCCTGATCAACCGTTTTAGAGACACACAAAACAAATCTGAGACAATCACATCAGAGCGGAAGTGACACGTTCTACACAAAATAGAGGGAGAAAAAACAGCAAAAAAGTCAACTTCATTGCTAAAGTTGAAATGACAGTACATGACTCAATATCACAGTAGAGATGTATTTAAAGAAAATGTAACAATCATTTACTCACCCTCACGCTGTTCTAAACCTGTATAACTTTCTTTTGTAGGAGAAAAGGAGACATTTTGAAGGTTCACACTGCTCTTTTCTCATTCCATGAAAGCATTAATGCCTTGAGAAGACCTGGAATACAGCATGGAAGCTTGTTTACTCTTGTTTTAGGTAATTGGACTCTCACAAGATATAAAGTCAGATTTGCAAGATATCGCAATTCGCAAAATCGCAAAATCGCAAAAAGTCCAATCTATGAGATGTAAACTCGCAATTGCGAGAAAAAGAGTCTGAACTGCAAGAGTCAGAATTCTGAGCATACAGTATATCACACAATTTTGAGAATTGAGAAAAAAGTCTTAATTGTGAGATAGAAAGTCGCAATTACTTTTTTTTTTATCACGTGGTGATATAAAGTCAGAATTGTGTCACAATTAACTTTCTTTTTTATTCCTCAACTGCGAGATATAAAACCAGAATTGCGAGATGTAAATTCTGAATTGTGTGATAGAATTGTGAGTCAGAATTTGAAGTTTATATCTCGCAATTCTGAACTTTTTCTTAGAATTCCAGAAAATTAAAAAAATAATAATAATTTCAAATAAATGTTGTCCAATATGCTTTCATTTGACAGAAAAGAGCAGCACTAACCAAATAATACATAAACAATTTCAATTAATGACCTGAAAAGGAAAAAAAAGTCAGTTGTGGAACGACATTGAGTGGAAATGACATTTAATTTATGAAATTCAAAATAAATTATTTCCTTAAAAACTATGACCTTGCTTGTCTCACTTCATATCAGATTGTGTCACCACATGAAGCAAACTGCATACAATTACACACACTACACAGTGCAATTTCCCACGCCAGCTCACACAAAACCTTTTTAAATCAGACATTAAAACTCACTGTGAACAAAAAAAAAAAATCGATATAAAGTCATACTAAAGTGTTCCCATACCAAATATGTTCTAATAAATAAGAGCACACTTGATATTGCACACAATACAATCTGATATGAAAATAAATACAAATGTTTTAGTAGGCAAATGTAGTTTGATTTTTTTTTTTTTTTGCAATTTCCCATAATTCTGCATTATTTGATGGGTGGCATTTCTAAGAGCCCTCCATGGCAGTGTCTGTAATATACAAAATATACACCTGGCTCAATCACTCTCAGGTTAAGAAATCTCAACTCACTCGATCATACATACACACACTTGCCGTAACCTTATCAGAGTTTCTCTCCTCCAGTCTGCCATACAGCTAAATCTTGTTGATTTGAGTCTTAAGTTGCTTGAATAGTGCTTGAATGGTTCTCTGGTCAAAGGGCACAATCCTCTTCCTGTGTCTGGTCGCAGGAGGTCTGCTCTTCGTTCTCTGCTGGCAGCTGCAGAAACTGTGGTATTTCCAGCTGCTCTTTGGTGAGTAAACCACGCTGGTCATCCGCACGACTGCACTGGGCACGGGACAGCAGCTCAACAAGACCTGAGAGAAAACAGTCCAATGGATTGGATATGTCAGACAAATAGGGTCATATTCATAATAGAATTCAAGCTACAGCTTAGTGCATACTTTGTAGTACACTGACTAGTATGCAGTATGCCTTAATAATAATAATAAAACAAATTAAATAAAATGTAAAAATAAATACAAATAACTTCAAAATAAATGTAATAAAATATAATAATAATTATTATTATTATTATTATTATTAAAATATATTTATTTATTTATATATAATATATTAAATCAAAGTTATTATAAAATAATTCATATGTATATGATGATGTTGTTGTTGTTATAATTTAAATAATAATAATTATTATTTATAACAACTACAATAATCAAAATAAATGTAATAAAATATAATAATAATAATAATTATTATTATTATTATTAAAACGTAAAAATAAATAAAATAAAAAATAATAAAATGTAAAAAAAAATAAACAAATACTTACAAAAATACAAAAACAAAATGTAATATAAATTAGTAGTAGTAGTAGTATAAATCATGGTTGATAATGCTTCTGGTAATTCAGTCCTCACAATGGATGGACAACTTGGGAGCACTGCATTGTGGGATACAGTATTCCATGTAAATGCACAGGTATTCATATTTCTTTCGAAAACACAAGGTAGTTTGCACAGGAAATCACACATAATGTGCATTTCCTGGCTTTGACATTAGTGAAGGTTGCATAACTAGCATGTTAATATACACCATAACGTAAGACTTCTGCATTACCGTCCATGTCTTGGTGTTTTCTGGATCTGGGATTTGCTTTGGGTGTTGGTGAAGCAGCTTGAGTCTCCAAACCAACTAAAACACAGAGATGCACACCATTAAACAGTCTGATGAGTGAGGAAATGAGATCACTGCAAAGAGAGAAGCTAGATCTCATGTCAGTTAACACCTCCCCCATAATCCTATTTTTAAAGTCTGGTGTAATGTGGTGGTCCCTCCAGCCCTCTCCGCTCCATCTGAAGAGCTACAGCGAGAAAATGGGCTTTAAAATGTTGCTTTAAAGCCTGCGATGACCCCTGAGGTGGAGGTTTCATTTGTGCTGGGCAAAAATACTGTGACAGGAAATTACAATAAGCCTAACACAAGTTGACACAAGAGAGACAGAAAGAGAGAATATCACAAGCGGTTTGCATAACTAAACTCAGAGACATTGATTTAAATCCAGCAGGAAGATACTAGAAGAAGTGGAAAATAAAAAATAAAATGGAGTTTATTGTGTTAGCTTTCAAAATGTCAAAAATATATCTCTTTATGACGCTATTTACCACGCTTTACAGTTTGTTTTTCCTTCACTATCTGGTCCAACTTATCTATTCATTTTTTTACTTCAATTATAGTTTTGCAGATAAATTCAAAATTAGGCACAATTTATATCAGTCTACAGAACAAATGCACTAATTTGAACCATTTGAGTCTAAACTTTTGCCTGATAATGCACATACACAAATATACATAAAATAAAATGATAGATAAGTGTAATTATATAATCATTTAAATAAAATTTGTTAAAAAAAAATCTTATAAATAATTTTTAATAAATAAATTATATACATTATTTAAATAAGATGTTTTTATTTTTTAAAATATATACATTTGTTTTAGTGCTGCCAACATTAACGCGTTAACGCATGCATAATTTTACAATCCTTAACGCTTTAAAATAATTTAATACAATTAACGCAAAATTACTGAAGCACAATTTCTATTCGCGTAAAGGAGTCGTACAG